AGAGAGAGAGAGAGAGAGAGAGAGAGAGAGAGAGAGAGAGAGAGAGAGAGAGAGAGAGAGCAGGAGAGTAGTATTGGCGGTCACACCATAGTAGCATTGTCTTCTTTTTATTTATGAGTGGAGGCGAGAAGTCGGGCTTTCTTTATCAAGAGACTTTAGCGTCAGTGTGTTCTCATTTTGATGTGCTCTCTCGGCCTCGCAATTCTGCTTTCAATTTTGTTATATATGCTGGTACTGCTTTGAGTCTTTTGCTGCTTGGAATATTTGTGTTCGCATGGATTGTTCCTTGGGACAGTGCAAAAGAACAGGAAGACCTACCGAATTGCTGAAGGTGTACATCCCCTCAGGGTCTGTCTCACGGTGGCTGACCATATTCAGTTTGTCCAACTCCAGGAGTGCAGCATCAAGCTGTTCCTTTGTAACAGAAGCCATCGTTCTCCTGCGCAACGCAAGTTCAGTGAGAGTAGCAATCGTGCCAGCGGTCAGAAGGCCGTCCTTCCAGATATTCCTTGCACACAAGAAAAAGTTCCTTTCATTTGGTATGTTCTTTCCTATAAAGCGTCAAGCGTCTACGTTCGTGCGAACTTAACATGAACCTAGCCAGTTTTCAAACCAGAGTGGAACTTTTCTTAGCACGGACATAGCAATCACAGAGCCTGGGAAGGCACTTTTATAGCTATAATGAAAATCATGAATCTGGTTACAAAGGTTCATGCTAACTAGCACACCATAGCATCATTGGGGCCTGGCCCTGATTGTCTTACAGTGCGTACTTCTTTGAGTTATACTCCATTCCTGTGCATGTATCAGACACACATACTGGGCCATATACAGGCGTACTTCATTGTGTGACGGTGGTTGTGCATGCCGAAGCGAACAGACGTTTTTTTTTTTTTTTTTAAACCTGCCCAGTTGCTAGGAAGGGTGATTGGCTGCAATCAAACCAAAGAATTTGTGCCCCTGCCAAGGTTTGGAGAGGCAGGGGAAGAAGAAAAAAGCTGTCGTGAATCCCACAGTGAAGAACAAGTTGTACTCCCCATATGATTGAATGGGACGCTGCGCTGGACTCGATTTTACGCAAAGCAAAAGCTGGGTAATGGCCCCAGTATTCTGGGTTGAGATGTGGAGGGATTCCCGGCCTCCAAATGTTCACGTGGCAATAAAATCGCTGTTCTTTTAAAAATAAAAATAAAACATCTGGGCATAGACTCATAGAGCCCTCTCATTTATCACATCTGCATGCACCAAGAAGTCTGGGTGGGGAAAAGTCTGAGTTTTTCTTTAAACTACCAGAACATGGCCACCTGGGCCGCGGGTCTGACACCTCAAATTCTGGAGGTGCAAAACGAAAACGGGGCCTCCGATTGAATTTATCAATGGCAGGCCCAGTGTTTGACGTTTCGGCCTCATTTTCTTGTGGCGACAAGTTTCGGACTGCAAGGCTGGGGCCGTGTACTAGTGGTTTAAGGGGGATGGAAAGGGCAGGAAAGCGGTGGTTTCCCAAGTATGGCCGTACTGATAGTCAATCCTTCTGTTGGGAAGTTCTCAATGTTGTTAGCACTCCCTGAGCCGTAATGAGGGGAGGCATGGAGTGCGTATTTTGTTATCTTTGCAGCAATGCTGGCCCCGTTTTCCAGCAGGTGATGCTCCCAACCAATAGAAGGGAGCTTGTTTTTTAAACTTTTTTCAGTTTTTCTTTATTATTTAAAAAAAAAACTGTGGCAGAAGTTCAAGACCCTTTTTTTTTTTAAATAATTATTATTAAACGGGCCCAGTGTCGAAGGCTGATATTCCGAAAGACAAGAACGAGGCCGGGGTCCTCACAGTCTACCCGGATGTGTAACATGTCTGGGAGCCTTACCCAAAAGGGACCCGGGATCCAAGATACCCAACCAAAGCTATCGTGTACAAGATGACTGCCTCTTCAGCAATTTACGAGCCGCCAGATCTAACATGACACAACAAGCTAGTTGCACCTTGCTCTCATTCTTACTACTTAGATAATAGAATAATCAGCAGCAATCGCATCCAGGCCTTCTCATGCACATTCCACCCCATACCATTGAAGATTGACTAAAACCAGATCCAAGGGTGGGAAAAAATCAGGAAATAGATCCGGGGATCTCAAGGAAACTCCTGGTTGAATATCAAACCAGCTGTAGAAGAAGATGTCATAGTTCCTCTTGAACGCTGCATCTCCTTCCCCATCAGGCCATTTGATTTCCCCCAGATTCTCCCCTGATGAATCCCCCAGCCAGTTAATCTGGAATTTATGCAGAGTTTTCATAATGTCTTGTTTTTGAATCAGTGACTTGAATATGATTTTGACTTTACACCATTGTGCTCTGATTTCCGTCTGGACAAAATTTTGGATTATGTCAGAAACTTTCTGACCATCAATTCTTACCGCCTCCCAAGACAACACACACCTTTTGAACCACAAAGCCCAAAGTAATGCTTTCCTACCTATATGGAATAAATGGGTTTGGAATTCTGACAAACTTTCCATCACTGGAGACCAGTGTCCCAAAAGGAGTGCACGCCAGTCCCATGGCCAGTCAAACACGGTGATTTTATTCCAAATATGATCCCATCTTAGCAGTTTGGCCACTGGGCATTGAAGAAATATGTGTTCTATAGTTTCTCTTATCTTTCTACTTGGAAACGCTGAAGTAAAGTTGGGACACCATGGTAGAACTAAACATTTTCGTTCAAGCGATGAATGATCAATTAGCCAATAGTTGGTAAACACCTATGGACCATTTGCCATTGTAGTGAAGCAAATTTTGCCGGTCTGTCCTTGAGGCCCTTACACCATTTAACAGGCTTGAGTCGGTCGTAGTGAATGTTAAGATGCCTGACCCATCTTTCCTTCAAAATGGCTATGACGTCTATTTTTGGACGAAGGATGTGATATGAGGCTTTAACTGTGAGGGAGTGCAATCTTTGAGGGTTACCTCTCCTATTAGTTTTCCATACCCATTCCAAAGGATCCAGTGGTAGCTCAACAATTGACAATTCAGGGAGGAAGGCTCTCCAACTTCTCGTTGTTCAAAAATTTAAAACTCTAATCCTATACATTGTAGAATCAGGGAAGAAAGCAACTTCATTTTGGTTCATTTGAGGGATTGAATGATTTTTACATACTCTGCATATGTTAACTATCGCCCCTCCTTGATGCGTATCCAAAATTTGACCTATAACTGTATCTCCCCCGGGCTGAATAGCTCCAACCCAGTCTTCTTTTCTAAAGTCCATACCCTTTTTGAGAAGCAGAATCCGTGCTATAGGGATAGATGATATTATTTGGTCCAGATCATAGTCGCAGCGCACGATGATGCGCCGGTTTGCGCACGATTTGCGCACGTAGCACCGCGCATCGCACAGCGCACCGTGGCGCCCCGCACAACAAAAAATAGGGGTAGGGGAAAAAAAAATTTGGGGGGGGGGTTCGTTCAGAGGGTGGGCCCCCACCTCGGCAAAAATGACGGGCGGGGKGCGTGACTCGGGAAACCGGCCGCACCCCGCCTCCAAAAAGTTTTTGGGGGGAAGGGCCTGCCGAATTCGAAACTTCGAATTCGGCAGGCCCTTCCCCCACAAAAGTTTTTGGAGAAGGGGCCCGGCCATTTTCCCGGAGTCGCGCGCCCCCTTGCCATTTGAATCTTCATGTCACGAAGGAGGGAGGGAGAGACATTGCGAGGGACCACCAAGAAGCGAGCAACAAAGGCGGGGAGCAGCAGGAGGAGGGCGACGAAGGTGGGAGAAGCGGGAGACCGACGAAGGTCAGAGAAGCGGGAGACCAACGAAGGAGGGAGGGAGGGACATGGCAAGAAACCATTGGCGTACGACAGCCGCAGGACAACATCGGCTCGAAGCAGCAGCGGGAAGCAGCAGCGGGAAGCAGCAGCGGGCAGCGGGAGACCGGCGGGCAGCCATGAAGGTGGGCG